CCTTCCTACTTCCAGCCTCCTCCTCCTCCTCTTCTTCTCCCTTTCCTGTCCTCCTCCTCCTCCTCTTCCTCTCCCTCCGTCATCCCTCCCTCCGCCCCCCCTCCCTCATTCCACCCTCCTCCTCCTCCTCCTCCTCCTCCTCCTCCTCCTCCTCCTCCCCCTCCCATCGTCTACCTCCTCCTGCTCCTCCTGCTCCTGCTCCTGCTCCTGCTCCTCCTCTTCCTCCTCCATTCCTTGTCCTTATGAATCAATTCTCCCTGTCGCAGCCCGAGGCCAGTGTTTAAGGCGGGCTGGGCGTGTCGCCCGTCTATGACCCTGAAGCTTAAACAGTGGTAACAGTTTTACAGATGGAGGAGGCTCCGCCTCGGCGCGTGCTCTCCTCCTGCTCCTCCTCGTCCTCTTCCTCCTCCTCCTCCTCCTCCTCCTCCACCTCCTCTTCCTCCGCCTCCTCCTCCGCCTCCTCCTCCTCCGCCTCCTCCTTACAGGTAACAAGTCGTTTTCAACATGTGGCTCTCGCCTTGGCGCCGCGCGCAATCGTTTTTTAAGCATTGCAAGGGTTTCACGGACTGAAGGCGATGTATTTTCAGCATGTGCCTCTTGCCTTAGCGTCGCGTGCATTCGTTCTTAAACTTTGTCAGAGTTTCGCGGATTGAGGGCGGACCGTTTTCAAAATGTGGCTCTCGCCTTGGCGCCGCGCGCAATCGTTTCAAACATCTGCAAGAATTTCACGGATTGAGGGCGGTTTCTTTTCAAACTGTGGCTCTCGCCTTAGCGTCGCGCGCATTCGCTTTTAAACTTTGCAAGCGTTTCACTGGTTCCCATGACCAGCAACCAGACATGGTGTTTGTAAGGATTCAGGTATATGAGGGTGCAACAATTACGTTGGCTCGCGGCGTTGAAATACCAAGGATGGCGTTCTGGCGCGATTCAGGATCGTCAGGACGCAACAATCAGATTGATCCGTGGTATTGGAATCCCGAGAACAATGTTTTGGCATGCTTCAAGGTCTTCAAATTGTTGTCTTCCAACGAAGCAGTTCCCCCAGTGGGAATAAACCGCTGTAGGGACCTATGAAGAGGGAGTTTGGAGGGACGGTTTATTCCAGCATCGTTGATGACTCTTGGGTTTGCACCGGTCTTTCTCCTCCTCCTTCTCTTCCCTGACTCCTCCTTCTTTTCGTCTCTCCTCCGCTTCCTCCTCTTCCTCTTCTTTCTTCTCCTTCTTCTTCTTCTTCTCCTCTCTGTCTCTGCCTTTGCCTCTGTCTCAGTTGGTCATGCTCGCTCGCTTTCTATCTCTCTCTCCCTCCCATTTGTCAGTGTCTGTCTCTGTTAGATCTCCTTCTCTGGCTCCTTCTCTTTGTCTTCGTCGTCCGCCTCTCCTTGCGCGAAAAAGGGAACGAGGCCCAGAGCGCTCTGTGAAGAGCTGGGCCCGGGGAGGGGCGACCACCAGCGGGCACCGAACCTCCCTGGGCGGCAAACAAAACCAACAAACAGTCGAGCTTGCCTGGGAAGGACATGCGACAGGGCACACGGCTCGTCTGAGGACGCAACCTGTGCCCAGGGCATGCAGAAGACACGAGCCGCCGTGCACAGGACACAAGGGCCCATTTGATCAGGCAGGGGCGACCTACATATCAAGCCGACAATGCAAACGACTGGCCCGCGTCCTTCGGAGGGGCGACGTTGTACACTTGCGGGTCCAAGGCTTGTCCCCAGGCAACCCGTGGCACTGCGGTCGTTGCGTCCGTACATGCGAGCTGCGCGACGGAACGCAACAGAAGGACACCACACCCGGGCCTCTCTCCTCGTATTTTTCGGGCCCCCTGTGCCTCCTGTCGCTCTCCCTTCCTGCTGCTCCTCCTCTCTCCCCCCCGGCCCTCCAGATCCATCTCCTGTTGCTGTTGCTACTGCTTCATGTCTCCTCCTGGACGGGACTGGCAACGCATAGCCGCGCTCGGTGGCGCCGGCAACGGTTGCGCCAGGCAGGGCGATACAAAATCAGGACGAGGTCCTCCCACCCGCCATCTTCTCATCCTCCTCTTCGCCACCCCCCTCCTCGTTCCCCGCCCCCTCTGGTCTTATTCTCCTCTTCCTCCATATCTGCTGCTGCTCGGTTCAGATCATATTATTCCTCGCAATCTGGCTCTGCACGCCGCCACGTCGGCCACCGCCACCGTCGCTGTCACCCGATTCGGTGGCCCTGACGAAAGGGTGCCGAAAAACGCCCAGAGTTCATCAAAGCAGGAGGGTGCACACCCGACGTGTCTGGCTGCTGCTCTGGGGTTGGTGGGGGACTTTGCTTAGGGCAGGCTGCAGCATCGCTCAACGATGTGCTGCTAAGCGAGTCTCCAGGGTGTGCCTTTTCCTTTTCTGTGCACTTCAATTTTGGCTTCGGCTTCAGCTGTGATGCGCGTCGAAACGCCAATCAACTCACCCGAATCGATTTTCCGCATGCACGGGCGTCTCCCCGGCAATGGTCTACTCCCCGCTTGGATGGGTTATTCCCCGGTTGGACGGGCGATTTGCTGGTTGACCGGGGGAGGCACCTCTGGAATGTAAGCTTCGGGAGACGTTCCGGCATGCTTTCCGATGTAATCCATCCTTAGAGCGTCTGGAGTGCCAGTGGCGTGCCCTCAGGGGGCCCACATGGTTTTCTGTGAAAAACAGCAGAGGACAAGTCCATCCGCAGCAATGACGTTCTGAGTGGGCGCTTGCTTGCTCTGTGCGTGCGCGTCTGTGTGCGTGCGTGAATCTTGCTCTGTGCGTTAGGCCACTTCGAGGATGCTAATATTAAGTCGGGCGTGTCCCCCTACAGGGGGATTTTGGGCGAAAAATAATACTCAAAACATCCCCCCCAGATGCTCAAAAATAGTCAAAACATCGTCCACGGACTTTTTTAAAACTATTATCGAATATTCCCCTTGTAGAGGGACACGCCCGACTTAATGCTAGCATATCGTGCTCTCCACCCGTAGCCGTCCTGCGCGATGGTAACGACCCTTCGCCGCGCGAGCAGACACACTCTGCTCTGTGCGTGCGCGTGCCTGCGTGCGCGCACTCCTCGAAGCGCCGCCAAGGACTTCGCTCCGGCTACCCGGGGAGCCATCTCCTCGAGACGCTATGTTTCACTGTCCTGGGCAGGAATCGCAGCGTTTGGAGCGCGTCCGTTTCTCGTATGAGGCACATGCGTCTCTCATCTGACGCACATGCGTGGCGCATGTGAACCCCTGATGTGTCTCACATGAACACCTGGCGCGTTCTTTGTTTGAGCACCCCACGCTTCGCAGAAGGAAGCTGTGCTCTTCACTGCTGCAGACCATGCGCTTGTCATGGGACAACCAGACGTTTCCCACATACAAACCACGCGTTTCACATATGAAGACCACGCGAACAAATCCACCCTCACGACCACCAACAGGACCATCACCGCGACAACCAAGTGGGGGGTAGGAGGGAGAGGAAGAATACGGATGTGGGGTAATGGGGATGAATCTGGAGACAGGGGGCGGTGTTTGGTGTTTGGTGTCTGGGGTTTGGTGTATGCTGTTTGGTGCATGGTGTTTGGTGTTTGATGTATGGTGCTTGGTGTTTGATGTATGGTGTTTGGTGTTTGGCGTTTGGGGTTTTTGGATTGGGGGTTTGTTGTTTGGGGTGGTGCTTCGGGTTTGTTGTTTGTGGTTTGTTGTTTGGTGTTTGGCATGTAGTGTTTGGGTTTTGTTGTTTGTTGTTTGGTGTTTGGGTTTAGGGTTTGGTGTATGATGTTTTGTGATTGGGGTGTGGTATTTGTTGTTTGGTGTATGGTGTTTGATGCTTGGTGTCTGGAGTTTGGTGTCTGGTGTTTGCTGTATGGTGATTGAGGTTTATTGTTTGCGGTTTGGTGTTTGGTGCTTGAGCTTTGGTGTTTCGTCTTTGGTGGTGTCTGCTGTTTGGGAATTGTTGTCAGGTGTTTGGTTGTTTGGTTTGCTGGAATGTTTGAGGCTCCAACCAGAGAATCACCCAACACTCTGGCGGGGAATAGCCCGTCCAACTGCGGAGTAGCCCATCGAACCGGGAATCGAACTCGGTCGTGTCTCCCGCCTCCCCCTCCCAACTCCACCTCCTCCTCCTCCTCCTCCTCGTACTCCCTCCTCCCTCCTCCTCCTCCTCCTCCTCCTTCTCCTCCTCCTCCTCGTTCTCCCTCCATTCTCCTCCTCCTCCTCCTCCTCCTCCTCCTCCTCCGCCCCCTCTTCCCCAACTACAGCATGAAGGCTCGCAGCAGATCCCTACTATGCTTCCCAAGTGTCTGAAGCCCCCGAGAGCCCAGGAGGCCCCCAAAAGGGCCTCCAACAAACGACCCCTGCGACCGTGCGACACGCCTGCCACTCTGCGGCATCGCAACGCTGCTTCCCCAGAAGCCGGCGCAAGCGTTCGCAATCGTGCTCCTGGCATCGCGGTCTGCAGCAGTGGCCAGGAGCCAGGCGGCCCTCACCTAGATCGCTAGATCGATGGAGCGGACGAGCGGACGGCTGTGCGGGTAGCCGTCGGGGCCTGACTGGGACCAGGTGAATGGGGCCACAACTTTAATAATCTGGCGCGTATGGAAAACAAAAGCATGCACTGGAACCGCGAGATAACACATGGATCGATCGAGGGATGGACGGCGGGCGGAGGGGGGATGGAGGGAAGGCGGTGGCAAGGCAGACAATATGCATCTTGGGCATAATGGCGAAATGTGCCCACGGCCGCTAGACATTTGGGGTTGGGTGCGAAAGTGCCTGCGAATCATTCGCCCTACTCCTCCTCCTCCCCCTCTTCCTCCACCTCTCCAGTCCGCTCTGTGCTCCTCCTGATGCTACTCCTCCTCTAGCTTCTCCTTCACCCTCCCTGCCCCGTCCACCCTGCCTCCCACCTTCCTCCTCCTCCTCCTCCTCCTCCTGCTCCTCCTCCTGTCCTCCCTCCATGCCTCCTCCCTCGTCACCTCGACCCCAGTAACTGCAGAGGAAGCTCGTGTGGCATTCTGGCCTCCTCGGCGGTCGTGGCGCTGGGCTCGAGTATGTGGGCAACCACCTCACAAAGCAAGGCTCAGCCGCGGAGAAGCGGGAGCAGGAACAATAACGGACGTGATAAGAACATTCATACATGGAGGAAACCAATCATGTGTTATGTGTCGTACCTTCAACACTATTACTAATTACGGTAGTGGTTGTTGTTGTTCTGGTTGTGATCAGACCGCTTGTATCACTGTGCTGCTAAATCCGATACGGAGGTTGAGAGGGATGGGTGAAACTTTCGGTCCGTGATTGGTGGCGGATCGGACCCGCAATCGATCTACAATACATGCAATCTATATTTCATTTATGTTTTATAGTGGTGATACATCTATCGCTCGTAATCAATACTGGCGATACATCAATATATACAAGTGGCACGTGTGTGCCCAGGCTCATACAAAAAACTGAAGGGGCGTTTGAAGCAGGAGTGAAATGCAACATCGAAGTCGCACTCGAGCGCAAGTGGGGTTGCCACACCTTGCGATGTGTGTACCAGGACCCCCCAGGAAGCCTCAGGAGGCCCGACTTGGATACCAGAAGAGGCTCCAGGAGGCCCCAGGATTGTGAGTGTTGTGCGTGTGTGTGTGTGTGTGTGTGTGTGTGTGTGTGTGTGTGTGTGTGATGTATGCTTTGTGTGGTGCGTGCTTTTTGTGTGTTGTAGGTTGTGTGTGTGTGTGTGTGTGTGTGTGTGTGTGTGTTATGTTTGTCTAGCGTGTGATGTGTTGGGCGTGATTTGTGTCTCTGTGTGCATGTAGTTCTGAAGCCCCAGGAGGCCCCAGGAAGCCCCAAGCGGCCTCAGGATGCCCCAGGAGAACCCAGGAGGCTTCAGGAGGCCCCAAGAGGCTCCAGGAGGCCGCAAGAGGCCCCAGGAGGCCCCAGGAGGTTTCAGGAGACCCCCAGGAGGCTCCGAGGCGGGGTCTGGGGTGCCAGAAGGTTCAGAAAGCCCCAGGAGGCCCCAGGAGGTTCCAGGAGGCCCCCAGGAGGCTCCGAGGCGGGGTCTGGGGCTCGATTTTGGAAGGATTTTTCAAGCGAAACCGCCATTCCCTGAGAATCGGGGTCACAATTATTGAAATTACCATGTGTGTTTGAAGGTTTTATGTTAAAATGTTGAAATTCCCATGTGTTTTTGGACCCTGACGTCACGATCTGCGTGAGGGGTGCCACCGTTTTTCAGAATTTCGAGGATGTCCCGAGCGAAACGCCCAGAACAATCGCGGACGCGTGCGCATTAATCGCCTCTGAGCTCTACTCCCTCGGAGAGGTGCGTATACATATATATATATATATATATATATATTCATGTATGTATCACATATATAACAATATCACTATATCTACCAGTGCCACTATTTTTTGACCTCGCTGCCTATTCATACATCCAACTGCCAGTGTGCATCGTTCTCATTCATCTGTGTGTCTTAAGTATCACATGACTCCGCACTGAGACGCACTTATACCACAAAGCCTGCTGCTGCTGCTGCAACGTGCGTGTGTGCACGAGGGCGTCTATTCTTTGAGCGTCGGGCTAGGTCCTCCCTGCACCTGGCCCGACTGTAGGCTGGCAGGGAGGCCAAGGCGCAGGGGCTGCTTTGCTTCGGAGCCCGCCCACTGCGCTCGAGCCCCCGCTGGAACACATCTCAGACGCGACGCACCGCATATCGCGAGATAGTCTTCCATAGGGCGTTGGCACAGGAGAGCTAGCTGCATTCAACTTTTTTTTGAGCTTAACGCCAACACGTCTCAAGCTCTGCGGGTGCAACCACCATGACGAGGACGAGCACCCCGGCGAGGTAGAAGCCCACCCACAGAAACATCATCGCCATACACGAGGGGATATACGACGAGGCCCGCCTCGAGCAGCACGAACACGAAGGCACCCCAGTGAAATTGAGAAGAAACCCCGCCACGACAACGCCGAACAGACGATTGATCAACCTGAATGCGTGCTGGGCCCTGGAGGCTGAGACAAACTACCTCGATGGTTATTCCGACCTTCTGCTCTTTCACGAGCTGGAACGCCGGGCCCCCCCCTGGCGCCTTCCCTGGGAGGCGCGCTGCCCCTGCCGAGCGCAAGGCAAGCGTGGGCAACCGGTCGATCTCGCATGCGCTGCACGTTGGTGGCCGTGACGATCACACAAGGGTGCTGCTGACTCTCGCTGGCCAGGGGGTCGTTCTGCTCTTGGGATTGTACCGTCGGCCAGTGCCTGCTCGCTCTGCCAGCGACTTCCGACTGGGGCTGAATCACCCCTGCTGTCTTAAAGTAATCGAAGTGCCTGCGCGTGCGAAGGCACTCCTCGAACGAGTGCGATGATCCTCTGCGCGTCCGTGGGCTTGCCTTCGCTGTTCGGCTTGGAGGGCTTCTCGACTCAAGCCCTGCGTGGCGGCCCAAGCGTGTGACGCGCTCCCGCGGCCTCGACACCCATGCCTGTGGCAATATACCGTGGCCCGCCGGGCGCCTGTGATGCGAATCCTTCGCTTCCCGCTCCTCGCCTCCACCCGTGGCTGCAGCTTGCACTCCGCCTCCTTCTAGTACGTGGCACTGTCTTCTGTATTCGATCTTTCCGATCGTACCCAGACATGCCCATATATATATATATATATATATATATATATACAAGACTGCAGTGGCGCTTCGCGCCATGCACCTTGGTCCTTGAAGTTTGGCATGCAGGCGGAATAGCAGGAAGGTCAAGCCGACAATTTGGCGATAACTCCTTGTTGCCTTTTCCGGCATCGCCGCTATGATAATGTTTTTCGTTATCCTTCCTCCATGCTTATTGTTCCTTACTTTCGCCGTACCCTGCGCATTCTCCCCATCCTCCTCAGCTCTTTTTGGCGGAGGCTCCTCCTGGGAGAGCCTCTGGGGGCCTCACAAAAGTTGTTTCAGGCTTTCTCAAGGCCTTCTGGAGGCCTCCTGGGCGTATTCTGGGGGCCTCTGGGGACTTCCTCGGGCCACCCTGCCTCCAACCGCGGTCTCCCTGAACGACCGGGTCACGATTTGGAATGCTTCGGAGGGTGTCTTGGGGCCATCTTGGGCCGCCATGGGGCTCTCTGAGGGCCATCTTGGACCCGTGTTGTGCCGTTTTGGGGCTCTTTTGGACTGCCTGGAAGCCCTTTCGGATGGTTGTGGGGCGATGTTGGAGCCTCCCAGGCGGCTTCGGACGCCCAGAAGACCGCTGTCTTGGAGTGTCGGGAAGCCGAAAAAAGGAGAACCCCCAAATTCAGCAAAAACCAACAGAAAATCAAATATTTGTGCCTCTTGGGGCCTTCTTGGGGTGCTCTTGGAGGCCTCTTTGGGGCCGTCCTGGAGGCCTTTTGGGCCATCTTGAGGTCACGTCGGTCACTCTTGGAGCGCTCTTGTGCTGTCTTGGGGGTCTCTGGGACGTCTCCGATGACCCCCCTGATCGCCCTAGGTGTGCTGGGAAGGCTTGGCAAAACGCCCTGCGAGGCCCGGGGGGCCGCTTCAATGGGCGTCCGGAGGGTCCCAAAGCCCCAGGATCCCAGGAGTCCGGTTTGGGGGGGGGGGGGGGTGCGGGGTTTTGCGGCCGCCCGGGCTTGCAAAAATATAGAAATAGGAATATGTTCTCCACTTGCCGCGGAGGACGAATTGGAGCTCCCTCGAAGTCTCTTGTAGTCATACCCCAGGATTGAGGAGGAGGAATAAGGGTGATGGGAGGAGACGAGACCAGGGGCATGCCTTCCGACGTACTGGTCTGTGTAAGGTTACGTGGCCCGCTTGGGCTGCTCAGCCTCACTGAGCTGCCTCGGCCACAACAGGAAGGATGAGGGGCAGGCGCGGTTTGCCCATGCGCCAATGAACTGTTTCGCACGTGCGAGACCTGGCCACTGGGGAATGGCCACTCGCAGGGTGCACCCGCACCACTGCCAAAACCACCGCGCGGGCGCCACCCCGCCTGCTGTTTGCGGGGGGTCTCAGAAGAACAAAGAACGGCATACATGTCATCTCTCGAAGCTCCGCGCGGATTTCTTGGATCGGTGCCAGACCCCAATCCCTGGCGCGTCAGCGCCAGGGGGGTCCAGCGCCGATCCAAGAACTTCGCGCGGTGCCCCGAGAAACTATATCATTGTAGTTGACTTGCTCTTCGATGTGAGTGATGAGGAGGAGGAAAGAGGGAAGATCCTGCTCCTCCTCCTTCTCCTCCTCGTCCTCGTCGTCGTCGTCGTCGTCATCGTCATCCTCATCGTCATCATCATCAACACCATCATCATCACCATCATCATCATCAGCACCTCATCATCACCACCATCACCATCATCATCATCACCATCATCATCATAATCATCGTCGTCATCATCATCATCATCATCATATCATCATCATCCTCGTCATCATCATCATCATCATCATCATCATCATCATCATCATACTCATCAGCACCATCATCATAATAAACATCAACATGCTCATCATCACCATCAACATCATCTTCATCAGCATCACCATCATCATAATATTTTCCATGATCTCATCTCCTCCTCCTCCTCCACCTCCTCCTCCTCCTCCTCCACATCCTGATCATCATCATGATCATCTTTATCATGAACTTCACCTCCTCCTCCTCCCTCCTCCTCCCTCCCTCCTCCTCCTCCTCCTCCTCCTCCGTCGTCCTCCTCCTCCCTCGTCCACCTCCTCCTCCTCGCTCCTCCTGGGGCGGCGCCACGCTGGCGCCAGCGGGCCCCGTGGGGGCGGGGGCCTCCACGGCCGGGCCGCCCTGCAGAGGCATCTCCTCCCACTGTGCCACGAGCTGCGCGGGCGACGACGACGACGCCGCCGACGAGGACGCCGCCACGCCGACGCCGACGCCGCCGCCGACGACGCCGACGACGACGACGACGCCGACGCCGACGACGACGACGACGACGCCGACGCCGACGACGACGACGACGACGACGCCGACGACGACGCCGACGACGAGGACGACGAGGACGACGAGGACGACGAGGACGACGAGGACGACGAGGACGACGAGGACGACGGACGCCGGGCCGCCGCGCGCCCGCTGGCTCAAACAGGCCCGCCCCGCCCGCCCCCCCTGGCGGCGCGCGGGTGACGCGAGGAGGTCGTCGTCGGCGGCGGCGTCGTCTTCTTTCACGATTTTCGACCACTCGGAGCTTCTTTCGGGCCCTGGTCTCGTTTCAAGCCCCCCAGGTGGCTCGAGGTGGCCATGGGGGCCCAAAGGATGCCCCCCCGAGGATGTAGCAACGCTCAGGCCCATGCTCTTCCTTATTGATGCTTGCCTTCTCTTGCCTTCTTGCTGTCTCGCTTCCAATGAGATTCTCAGGCCTCAATGTGGCCCACCAGGCTCCATGAGGGCCACAAAAGTTGACCTGTGTACCCCTCTGTGTTGCACTATTGTTCACCTGCTGCAGCTATCATCGCAACTCGTTTGGACATCGTTTCTGTATTGTCAGATAGGTGGGAATACGCGAAGCGTCAATAGTACAATGCAACAGAACAATTTGCAAGTGGAAGACCACATCATCGTACACTGGTGTAACTTTTTGAAACAAGTAAACTAAATATACCGGGGTTGCCTACATCGCAATGTGGCAGAACGCCATGGGGATGGTCGCCGCTTTGGCCCCAAGGACATTCGGGTCTGTGATGCTCTTGTCGAAATTTGGACAGGCTTGGGGCTCTCCTGGGGCTCTGCCGGATGCCTCTGGGACTGTCTTGGGCCTCTCCTGTGGTCTTCTTTGGGCGCTCTTGGGGCCCTCTTGAAGCCGTACTGAAGCCTCGGGAGCCAATTGATATCGGAGAAAGCGCAGAATAGGTGCTCATCGCTCACAAGTATCAACAGCTTTTGGCCGCTCGGGAGGCGCCTTGGGCATATTGGGGCCATCTTGGGTCGACCTGGAGGCTGTCTCGGTGTGAGCGGCCTGTGAGTCGAACGCGCAAACAGATGGTGCGCATGCAAGATACAACAACGATAAAGGGCCCAAGGACACAAATCAATACACACACAAATCTCAGGATTCCCACTAGTTTCCCATATTTTCTGGGTTTTCGTCTTCCCCTCCCCTTCCCATGTTTTCCTATATTTTCCTGGGGATCGACGATCAATTGTGTCTGTGTGTTTTCCCCCCTCCTGAAAACATCTGAACGTTCAGCCGCAGCTTCCCAGGGGCCTCGTGGGCCCGCTGGATGGCCTCTCGGAGACCCCTGGGGTGCTCGCGCGGGGCCCCCTCCAGGCCATCTCATTGCCTGAAGCGCCGTTCGACAACGGACTGGCGAGACGACATCCCGCACATTCTTCCACACGTGGCGGACTCCGCAAACCCTGAACCCAAAAACGTCTTCATCTCTTGGGGGCGCATCTTTTACTTCCGCCGCTTTCCGCCAGCCTTCCGCCGGCTTCCGCCGAGGAAGAGATGGCAACTCCTTCGATCCTCGAAGGCAAGACCCCTTTTGGAACGCCCCATGTGTTTGATAGAGATTGGCCTGCAACGGGCTAACCTGGAGGCTGTCTTGTCGCCGCGACTCGCCAAATCTTGCCTCGTCATCTCTTGTCTTGTCTGGCTCGGCTTGTCTGGTCGTTTTTGGCCACTTTGGGGGCGTCTCGGTGGTCAACTGGCGAACCCTGGGATGTTTTACGGCGAAGCCCAGAACTCCGAAAAGGGGCGAAACCCATAATCGTTCTGGGCGAAACCCGGAACCGCCAGGCGGAACCCGGAATCGCCCGGGAGGTCAAACCCAGAACCCAGGGACACACCAAACCAAGATCCCCCAGAACCAGAATTCCAAGCCTGTGCTCCTCGTCCTCAACCTCCCCCTCCTCCTCCTCCTCCTTCTCCTCCTCCTACTCCACTCTTCTCCGTTAATAAGATAACTTCTCCCTTTCGCACCCCGAGGCCGGTCGACAGGGCGGGCCTGGCGTTTCGCCTGAGATTTCATCATCATTTATGACCCTGATGCTTAAACATTGCAACAGCTTCACAGATGGAAGGCGGGTGGTTTTCAAAATATGGCTCTCGCCTTGGCGTCGCGCACATTCGTTCTTAAACATTTGACAGCGCTTCACGGATTGAGGGCGGGCGGTTTCCAAAATGTGGCTCTCGCCTTAGCGCCGCACACATTCGGTGTAAACAGTTCCAAAAGCTTCCAAGATTGAAGGCGAATCGTTTTCAAAATGTGGCTGTCGCCTTGGCGCCGCGCACATTCGTTCTACAGAGTTGTAGGAGTTTCAAGGATTGAGGCCGGTTCGTTTTCAACATGTGGCTCTCGCTTTAGCGCCGCGCACATTCGTTCGAAAGGGTTGCAGGATTTTCAAGGCGGGTGGTTTCAACATGTGACTCTCGCTTTTGCGCCGTCCACATTATTTTTTAACAGTTGCACGAGTTTCGCGGGTTGAAGGCGGCTCCTTTCCAAAATGTGGCCCTCGCCTTTACGCCGCGCGTATTAGTTTTTTTGCTTGTCTCAGACATTTTCACAAGTTTGACTGGTTCTCATGGTTAACGTACCAGCAATGGTGCTATGTAATGTTTCAGGATGATCAGGGCGCAACAGTTACGTTTATTCGCGGCGTTGAAGTCCCAAGAATGGTGTTCACGCACGATTCGCGATCGCCAAGACGCAACAATCAGGTTAACCCGTGGCGTTGAAGTCCTGAAAATAGTGTTTTGGCACGCTCCGAGATGTTCACACGGTTTTCCCCCAACGGGACAATTTCCTATGGAAATGACCCCTTCTAGGGGCCAGTGAAGAGAGATCTTGGAGGGAGGGTGTGTGTGTGTGTGTTTCAACATCGTGGATGCGTCCTGGGCTTACACTGGTCCTCCTCCTCCCCCTCCTCCTCTTCTCGCTCGTTCTCCTCTTCCCCCTCCGTCAGCCTCCTCCCTCACTCGCTACCCCGAGGCGGCCACCAAAACGCGCATGGGAGATCAGGTGCGCGGCAGGGAAACTCCTTCCCCATCACCCTCCCCCTCTTCCACCGAGCCGACGATTTCCTTCGTCCTGCCCTTCCTATCCTCCCTCCCTTCCACCACTGTGCAAAAGATTTCCTCATCCTGGAGAATCCTGAAAACCGACATCCTCCTCCTCCTCCTCCTGCTCCTCCTCATGCTCCTCGTCCTTCTACCCCCTCGCCACCTTAGGGTCTACACCCCGACACCGGGCATGTTTTTTCTTCCCCGCGGCGCAATCGCACAATGCATTGCATTGCATTGCATTGCATTGCATTGCATTGCATTGCATTGCATTGCATTGCGCTGCGTTCATCTTCCTCCTTCCGCCCTCCTCATCCCTCTGCTCGTTCGCACTCCGCCTCCCCTCCGCGCTCCTACCCGTCCTCCTCTTCCTCCTTCTGATCCTCCCGCCTCCCCCTCCTCTTCCTCCTCATCCTCCTCCTCCTCGCTTGTCCTCGCTTGTCCTCCCATGCCTCCTACCCTCCTCTCCTCCCTCCTCCATCCTCCCTCCTGCCTCCTCTCCCTTCTCCCTCCTGCCTCCTCTCTCATCCATCCTCCTCCTGCTTCCCCCTCCCTCCTCCCTCCTGCCTCCTCCTTCCTCCCCCAATTTCTCACTCCTCCCTCCTCCTCTCTCTTGCCTTGTCCCTCTACCCGGCACGCGGCAACGCCTGTGGTGCGGAAAATAAATCTACGTATTCAGCTTTACTCGCTACTTGGCAAACGCCTGGGGGGCGAACGACATGCTACTCCACTCTCCTAGCGACGTGTCACAAAGCCTGCGTGGCGGAAGACATCACTATCCCACTCGAACTGCCACGTGGCAGCGACTGGAGAGCGAAACAAAAACTACTCCACCCCACTCGCCACGTGGCAACGCTGGGTCGGCGGAAACACATTTATTTCGCTCTACTCGCCACGCGGAACGCCAGGGAAGCGAGACACACGCACACATACTGCTCCTACTCCTCGCCACGTGGCAACGCTCGGAGGGGAACACGCATACTACTCCACTGTACTCGCCAAGTGGCAGCGACTGCGGTGCCAAGCAAACGTGCTCCATTCTGCTCGGCACGTGGTAGCGAAGGGGGGCGGGAACAGTCGTTCCTCCACTCTGCTCGCCACGTGGTAACGCTACGCGGCAAGGCCCGAGGGGCAAACAAAGGACACGATCCCACTCCGCTCGCCACGCGGCAGCGCCGCGCGGGCCGGACACACACAATCTCTCTCTACCTCCACTCGCCAGGTGGCAACGCCTGGGGGGCGAACGCGCCCAGATTCCGCTCTGTTCGCCGCGTGGAGGCGCTGCGGGGCGGCAGCGCACAGGACGCCGCTCCGTGCGCAGCGTGGCAGCGACAGGCCGGCCAACAGAGTACAGCACGGCTTCCCGCGCCAGGCAGCAAAGCCACACAGCGAAGGGTCACCACTGCATTCGACGTGGCGGCCCCGCGGAGGCGACCACAGAGACTTATACTCGGCACGTTGCTCCTCCGCGCGCAGAGACGACGACGGTGATGGACTTCGACGACGCCGACGCCGACGCCGACACGGACGACGCCGATGACGACGACGCCGACGACAACGACGCCGATGACGACGACGGCGACGACGGCGATGCTCGCCCGCCCCCCCGCCCACGTGCGCCCGCCCGCCCGCCCGCCCGCGCGCGCCTGCTCGCGCGCCCGCCCGCCTTCTCGCCCGCCCGCCCACACGCGTGCCCTCTCGCCCGCCCTCCCGTCCGCCCGCCTCCTCCCCCTCCTCGTTCGTCGTCCACCTCAGCACCCCTCCTCCCAGCTCCTCCCCGTCCTCCTTCCGAATCTCCCACCTATCCCTCCTCACTCCTCCTCCCCCTCCTCCTCCTCCTCTTCCTCCTCCTACTCCTCCTCCTCCTTGACATCTTTGCTTGTCCCCCCACGTTTCCTACACTGCTCCT